AAACGTATAGTTAACATATTTCACGTTCATTAGGTCTATCGTACGCGAATAACGCGAGTGCTTTAAATTATCTCGCTGAACGACATCACGCACGGGCTTTGTATCTGACCGCGAATGTTGATTCTACTTGGGATCGTATTCGTCAAACTGCAATACACGCCATCTGATCAAGCCACGAATAATTTAGCGACTCATTCACGTTTATTCTTATCTCTACGACGACGCTCTTCTTTTCCATAATTCGTTTTCTCTTCTTGAAATCGGTATAGTTGGGAAGCTCCGAAGGGAGTTTGTAAATCAGTGTCAGCAAAATAACGTATTCTAGCAAAAAGTTGGTACGTGACGAGCAATATTCATATCCCGGAACTTTAAAAATTAAAAAGGAAGGAACGGAACACGTGTCTATTAGCATCGAGTAATGAATCCCTAGGAAGTAATTAAAGTTTTCGCGGAGAAAATTCCTCTTACAGAACTCAAGGCGAGCCGGGGACGCGGCGCATTTTTCACCGCTCTTGCGCGTTACTCCCGTCTTTCTAAATTCCACGTTTCCGAGCCTCTTTTACATCCCTCCGGCGTTTGCTCCTGGAAATCCTCTTCCTTTAGTCCGGATGCCCGACGTGCAGCTGAGGTGTATAATATTAATTAGACACGCGCGTGGAAAAATCCCTTCGAATGCGCATCTGTGGCTGCAACCTCGGTAATCGCTGCAAGTTTCAGGAAAAATTCTTGTAAACAGATTTTTCTCGGGAAGCTTGCCTCATTGAATTCAGTGGCTAGCAGAGAGACTTCGTTGATCTATCTGTTAAGCCGCGTGAAATTGTCCGTGCGACGTCCTTCAGTGTCTGGCTGTCAAGGCCCAAGTCTCATTAGAAAGACCCTCAATAAACCTAAGGCCCCACCATAAACAATAGTCTTAAGGACCCATTTGGAATTTGCTAGCTAAGGTCCATCAGACCGAACAAACCCGTTTATTGAATCGTTTCTAAAGCTTATTGCTACTACGGTAAAATTAGTTTTCTCACGTGCGACGCTTCCCACTAGCAACTCTCTCTCTCTCGGGGGCGGTTAGCACCTTCCCTCACCAACCAACCTAGAAAATTAACCAATTGACAACGAAGTCTTGAAACCTTACCCTTGACAATTATAAATTAGACCCACCCACGACTAGCTTTCCTCCGACACAGTATCGTCACTTTACCTCACTTATTCTTTATCGTTAAAATAGTTAACATGTCATTATCGGGTTTCTATTCTTAAAACAATCACTTACTTAACTTGTTCATACGCATCAGTGTAATTATCTTCTTTACAAGGTTGTTGGGATAAACATTAATTTATATCTGTTAATTCAGTGTAACCTCAATTGAACCACCCCTATTATCGTAACAGAAATCAGGGCATCGATCATTTCGTGACGTCGATTATCTAATCGTAACGGGAATTTACGACTCCCGTTGACGTGCTATCTCGCGGTCGCGTCTCTCCGCGAATGGTCGAAACAGCAGTCAGTCTAAGTCAAGAACCAGTCAAAGGCCAGTGTAAGGAACATCACGAGTCAGAATTCCAGCAAGAAACTACAAGTTTACTACAAACTACAAAATATATAATAACCTGTTAATATCAGTGTTATGTTGAATCAACTACCCTTATTATCCCACAAGAAATAAGGGATCGGACAATTCGTGGCGTCGATTATTCAAATTGTAACGGGAATTTACGACTCCCGTTGGCGCGCTTCTTCGAGATCGCGTCTCCCCGTGAACGTGCGAATTTACACTATCTCTTGGCCATTTTTGATCGAGTCATATTTTTCTACCGTTAGACAATTTCCCAACTATGAGGGAAACATGAAAGAATCATTATCAACGATTTAAAATATCAAAAGTTCGTCGATTGAAACGAAATCGGGATTGACATACGCAAAGTTGTTAGTTAAATTTTATGAACTTCCAAATCGAAAATTCATTCTTGATGCTACGAAAAGATTATTTTTATTGTTTATGTATCAAGTTTCCAGAATTTTTCATAGAAACAGAAGTCTCGACTACGTTTAAACAAAAGCGAGTTTAAGATACGAAAAGTTCTAAGATCATTGACAACGATATTTATGAATATTCAAGACAAAAGTATAACTGCGGAAAAATTATCGTCGTTACCTGTATCGAATTTGTATAAATACGATAAACAACCGAGCGCTTCGCTTAATTACACTGTAAATGATGCTATATTGTAACTGCATCGTATACAAGGGCTATCTTGCTGTTCATTCGTCGACTTATGGTAGTTAAACGGGGTTGGTTAAGCGAAAGTGAATTCAAACGAGCTATCGCTTCATCTTCCCCGCGGATGCATTAAAACTCGCGTTACGAGGCACCGTAGCTCTACCGTAACTCGTAAGAAGACGCTACCTTCAACGTACTTTAGCCAACAGCATCACGCATGCAGCATAATTCGCGAGTTCCCGTGCTAATCCACGCTCGTATCCCGTGAACGAGCTTCTTAGAGTAATAAAAGTATAACGAACGTTGTCAACGATGGTTCATGGTAAGCCACCCTCTTGGTGGAAGGACTAATCAGCGAAGCTTCGTAATTTCTCGGGATGATAAGCCGTGATTTCCGCGAGGACGCATGTCGCATTCAGTCAGGAAGGCTCGTCTCAAGAGCGTCGCGCGAAAAAGGGTAGCGTGATGTTCTCTCTGGCGAATCTCGACGACAACGAGGACGTCGACTGACGAGAAATCCACAGATAATTGAACCTTTAAAAAACTGAGCACGGTCCGTGGAACCGAGGACACGGCGTCAAAGACGCGTCCGGGGTGTGACCTATGGATCGACGAGGAAAATGGTATAGTGAACGTAGGAAGGGGAAGAGGCAGAAGGCGAAGAAGGAGACTGGGCGTAAAGTCCGCGGTACACAGAGTAGATAAGAGAGGCAAGTGTGGGAAGTAGGATCCTGCTGGAGGAAGCAAAGGGGGTGGCCAGGGGACGACGTTTAATCTAGGAGAGAGCACTAGAGGTCTAGATACGTTTTGCTTTTATATTCTATCACGGTTGTCTAAGATCCACCGGTCTGGAAAACCAGCACGCGATAGTTCGGCTCTTGCGATGGGTCGTGAGGCTAACGAGAGTCGACGAGAGTCGATCTGTCTCGATATTTCGTCGAGACTGTACACCGTTCCATCCTCCTGGCTCAGCTAAGTGAACGATATCTAACGAGAAGAATAGATCGTCTTGGGAGTAGAGACAAAAGACGCGCGTCCAGGGGACGAAACTGACACGGTCCACCTATTGACTGGTATTTATGTTCTCAATGGGAACGAGGAAAAATTCTTTCGGTGTTGTTCAGTGGTACGGGTCAACAGTAAGGGTCGAAAGTACCGAGAGAACGATATTATGTTACGGGAATGGAAAAGAAATAGATGTTGAGGGACTACCCGCCGCAGGGTGTGAGTTTCTAGCGGAATGTCGATGAAACGAAACGAAACGGAGGGAAAACAAGTCGGAAAGGGTAAGTTGATTGAATGGCTTGGATACATTGTGCCGGCTAGAGGCAAACTAAATAGTGTAAACGTTAAATAAAATAGTCGCCTTTCGGTTCTCGATTACGTATTCAGCGACGCAGCTATTTGCAAATATACCGTTAAATTGCGACGTTTCTACCGATTTCCAGCGGGATCCGCCAATTAATTACGCGCAGCGAGTCGAGCGAACGTTTCCTCTCGCTAGCAAGTTTCTCTCTCTCTCTCTCTCTCTCTCTCTGCTTGAAGTTTCGCTGGCGTGTAAGTGAAAGTAAAGTAAAGAGATAGCCTCTTCATTTCATCTAACAGTCTTACCAAACATAATAACATAAAGTACTAATACCGTCTCGATCAATTACGACGTTAATTAAACGACAAACTTTACCGCATATTCCTTAGACTAGTTTGTTAATTACTTTACGATCCGCGGTACGATATTAATTACACGAAAGGACAGGGAACAGTTTGCTGAAAGGAATAACGCCCGTGGCGATAATTTAACCTCCCAGTTATCCTCCTTTTGAACTCACTAATAGCGGCATGCTTTTTTATTGCAACAAAAGTACCGCGATTCCGCTTGGCAGTGATACTTTCAGAAGAGTATCGATCGATTCGTAGCTATCGAATATCCAGCCTCTCGGAGGAAATATTCGAGTGCCAGCTGGTGGAACGAAACTGGAGACTGCGATCCTTCTTTTAGTTACACGGACCATCACAAAGCGGTTACCTCTACTTGTTCATCGGGCAATGGTCGCCACAACGGAAGCAGCGCCAACTTTAATCCCGATTTACGGCTAAGGATTACAGGGAATCTCGTATCGTGTCAAACGAGAAAAAGGAATAGAAGCAAGAACGTTGAGCATCGCGATACAAGCGTATAGACGAGCGAGAAGGATGGGAACAGATTTCAGAAAAGTACCACACGAGAAATTCTGAACTCGAATCAAGGAGGTCGCTATAATTAATGCTAAAGTAGCGAGAGCCCTGCAAACTGTCACCAGCTACTTTCAAAGTGGAATCCGACCAAGCATTTAGACGTCACGTGGAGGGAAATCAGCTAAGGATCTTAATAAAAGCATGTCGGAGTTATCGAGCGATTTTTTCTCAGTAGTGCACACTTAAGAGTTCATTATTCCGATGATGCTCCAGAGCGGAGGTTCTTGTCTTTTCTTTGGTCGCGGCCTTCTTTAAGAATTTGATGAAGATTAAGGAACTTCTTCTAAGAGAATGGTCGTGACACTGTGTGGACGGTTCTTAGACTCGGCAAGTAGCTTCGTAGCGTTCTTACTCCTCTGCCGATCGACCGAAGAAGGAAACCATTCTGGTGAATCGTTTCTGGTACAAATCCGATATGACTCTCAAGACTTAACAAAATATGGTTTTTGTAATATGTTTATTAATATGTTTGTAAGAAAATTCAGAAATAAATAAACGAATATTTTCTCTTAAGATTCACCACAATCGATGTTATAATAACAAAAGATTGTTTCTATATGTTTTTACAACTATACTCGTGTGTTTCACCCCCTTCACAATTTTCAAAACATTGTTCGTCCAATATAATATTATCGGACAATATAATAGTCGTTCAAAAGTTCCAATAGTGAAGATCTTCATTTTCAACTATGTCAGCTTCAAATTCTCCTGTTTCATAATTATAAAGTGACATTAAAATAGAAAAAAAAATCAACACGAATTTATTTATCGTGTTTTTCTTTTTTCTGTCATTTTCGCACACGTATTATGAGCTGGTAACCAACATTCGCGTGGCGTTGACGTCATCACAGTGTTAATGGGAAACACGATGAATGTAGTAATCATATAACTCATAAACCGATTAGATAAACATAAAGTTCCAACTTCCATGTAGAATCTAGTTACATTGAAAAGCGAGTGACGATAGAATTTCCAAACTTCAGTTAATATGTGAGATAAAATTACACGATAAACAATCACTCGTCGCACTCACGAAGTGCTTTGTAATGGCGTAGACGGGTGTCTCGTTTCGAGGTTTTGATCAAATGGTTTTGGAATTGTTATGCACCCAAGGGGATGCAATCCTGGTCAACGAATGTAGCGCTTACTAAATGAAACGTTGCCATGAAATTCGTCGTAGTTACGATGAATTTGCCTCGTTGTGATTCGTGTTCGGACTTCCGATGTCTTGCCTGGTCCAAAATCTCTAATTATATCTATTTAATACCGACCATACGAATCATAAAGCCGATGCAATCGGTTGAAGCTTCGAAACTTTGTGTTGAACTTGAGCTCAATGGTTACACATTGAGTTAATATTCCCTGCCCATGGATCTCTATGGTATACACGGCAAACCTGTTACACTTAGAGTGTCGCTTTATCGAGATTACAATTTCATCTGTTCGTTGTAATTCTATTTCGTCATTGGTTTTTGTTCCTCGTCGTTATCCGACTTTAAACCAAAGAAAAACTTCTTGGAGTAAAATAAGTACTTGGACTTCTTTTTGCTTTTTTAGCTACGCCGAAAGCGATTATTCGCTTGACTCGGCGACTAAAATTTTCACGACCTTTCGTTATATCGAGCTTTCGTGTCCACTCGATCCGCCGTTAATAAATTGCAATTCTACCGGGTAGAATTCGTGCAAACTGAGTTAAAGAGGCGAACTTTCGAGACAGGTGGTGGCTTTTTCGCATGGGTTTCAAGCAAAGGAAGAGATTTCAAGTGAAATTTACGGGTTCGTGCGTCCCGAAGTGCAGAGTTAAGAACGAGAATGCCAGACGGAAGCTCAACGACCTTTCAGGCTAGCCGAATACGCGAGAGCCGCCACAGAAAATCCTGTCTTTTTTCACGGTGAAATTCAAACGTCTCAAAAGAGATGTTTTAAAAAGACGTCTTAAAGAGAGAAAAAGAGAAGATCGATTCTTTACGAGAAATCAGTACAACGATCAAATTTTATAAATCTACTAAAATTCGGAACAATTTAACGAGACGTAAATGGACATTGGGACAACCATTTCACATATCTCACTTTTCACTCCTCGTACGATCTAAATATTTTATAATTACGAATCCTGCGCGAGTTTTGATTTCAAAATCAGTATGTTGCGTATTTCGCGGCTGATTTCGGGGATATTAGGGTTTGAAAGAGAGTTTTCTCGTTTATTTCGACATTTACAAACGGTGATAGTTTTTCTCAGAGCAACGAATGATCAAATGAAACGTTTAGCAAACTGTCCCAACAAGACTACGCTGCTTTGTGACGGATTTAAAAAGCTCTCGTGTTGACATTTTATATTTACTTTGGTATAATACTGCTGTTTCACTGCGATGTTCCTTCAAAGACTTCATCGTTTGCTATATTTAACGTACGTTCGCTGAATTACGTACGTGGACATTCGATACTTTCTCTCCTTTCTCGCCTTGGTAAACATTAGAAATAACAAATTACATTTATTAAGCTTGGAAAATGAATGAAAGTAAATCTTCTGAGTATAATAAACTATATGTAATTAATGGTTGAAGATTTGTTAAATTAAACGTGGAGTAAAAGAAGCTTAAAAGTGGAATACAGAAACAGTTTCTATTCCTGTTGCTTTCGTTTTATACCTTTAAACACGATACTGAAAATTATATTTAGTATGCTTATACAGCTTTATGTCGCTGAAAGCATTAATTCTAGCTTACGTGGCAAAACAGTCTTCGCATCTTGACGAAGCTTTCACAGAATTAGCAATTAATTAGAAACTATCGAGCTACGAAAACGAGGAAACATCAAATGCCGGAAACGTTATTCTGTTTCTTCGCGCTCACGTGAAAAAAGAAAACTGTTGTATCTAACAAAAACCACACTTGTGTGGAAAAGTGATCGCAGTGCACTCGAAGCAATGCACGGCGTTCTTTCAAACGGGAAACATTTTCAATGGAGCTTGCACCGAGCGACAGAGAGAAGGAGAGAGAAGCCACTTTAACGGGCTGGTGGCGAGGCTTCGCTGAAAAATACAGAGTGCGCTCCGGTGAAAACTCGAGTGGACCGATTCAATGCATTTCGATGATAAACCGTTACAGCAGAATTCGCGCGGCGAATATATTGCATTTGTCGAGCGTGCCGGCCGATGTCCAAACGGATTAAGGTATTTTTCAGCCGGATCCAATAAATTCGATCGGCGAGCATCGAGAGAGAATCGAACGCGAGCATGAACCTCTCTCTGCCTTCGAAATTATACTACACTGTCTGGCCGTGAGTGAAGCTGATCAGTCGTGAGATTGATCGATTGTTGTAACGCGCGAACACGAGGATGCAATCAGAACACAGATGCATAGAAAGGAGTGCAACTTGAGTATACGTTTTGCACGAAAATTGAGCGACTGTTCATGACAGCTTCCAAACTATCTATTAATTCGCTTGATCAATTGGGCAATTGTATGGAATTTGTGCTGTTGATGCAAGTTTGTAGTGTGGTAATAAGAATTTTGGGAGATTGTTTAAGTAGTACGCGTAATTCAGTTTTAGAAAGAATCCTGGAGACACGATTGTAACACGAAAGAAGAGAGAAAAAAAGATTGTAAAATAAAGAAAAACAAAAACGCGGTGATTTTAGGACATGTTATAGTATGAGAGATTCTAAATTATAGTATCGAAATGATACGAAGCTTAACGTACTTGTACCTAATATGTACCTAATTGTACCTAATTGTACCCAATGTTATAATAAATACGACGGTATGTGAATGATTTTTGTAGCCGCTGTATATCTTCATTTCGCTATCGGAACTGCTAGCCCTACAATTCATTCAGATACATACAAATTAAATTCTCACCCTTCTTTAGTCGAAAGTGCTTACAAGTTAATCTTGGCAAAAATATTCTGAAACATCAGATTGGTCGATCGCGCGGACGTCTGGCATAGCGAAGTGTGGTATATTTCACCCAGCCGCGATAAATTTGATTCACGAGCAACAGCGTCGAAAGAGGGTGTATAACACGTATCGGTCCCTGCCGGTTGGAAATTATCCCGGGCGCAGGACAGGGGAAAAATCCGCTGTAATCCTTCGAACAATTGGCAAGCAAATTACCGTAATATTTTCGCGCGAGTTAATCCGAGTTGGTCCCTTTCACGCGGCCGCCACTGCTTCCACCACCTGCCGTCCCCTTTCTGATTCTACGTTCAATAGGTCCGTTGCCTTGTACGACCCGAAGCTTGGCGAGACACTCCCGGGGACGTGAACCGACGACGTGAACCGACGACCGGGAGTTTCTGTATTTAATTTGGCGCGAAGCTTTTAATCAGACGCCGCTTCAGACGGCTACTCGCCCCCTGGAAACCGACAGTGTCGACTTAAAGCGAGCTTTTTGAAGATTCAAGGCCCCTCTCTTCTTCCGCTGCCATCCGCTACCTCTCGCTACATTCACGTACTATTCGTGAATTTGCTCGTGACGCACGGTGCAAAGATACCTCGAGTGATCCCAGCTATATCAGAGAAACGTGCGTGTTACTTGATGAAGGAATTTAATTGAACAAATTATATAAAGGGCGTGCGAAATAGAGGCGAGTGTGATAAGGGGATTCATTGAAGACAAATGTTTGTGCGACACATTGGAGAACGTGTAAAGGTAGGTGGAAAATTCGACCAGACAGATTTACTCAGGGAGACCGTATGAAGTGAAAATAGAATGCAAGCAGTATAAATTTCTGTTAAAGTTCCGGGAGCGTCCGCTCTAATAATCTACAGAGTGGTGCCGCGTATTCTTCTAGCGTCGCCACGGTTCTTCTTGTGCGATGCACGCGCCAGGTAGTTGTGCGGCCCAGGTAGTTTCAGAAAAACGCGTCATAAGTAGTGAACGTGTTGAGCTACGCATCTGAGCTTGTTCGTGACGAGAAGTAAACCGCGGGATTAACAAGTCCGGAACGATAAATGTCGACGGGACAGGAAAATTTCTGCTGGATGAAAGCATTCTTCTTCCTTCTCTAGCGCTGTTTACAGAGACAGAGAGGAAATTCTGATTAATCTGCGCGAGTTTCTTAAGCGGGATTTTATCAAGATCAAACTAGAAAGATAACAGAGTTTCCAGAAGCTGTATTTCTAGTACAAAGTTGTGACAATCTGAATAAAATGACACTGAACACGAAGCAAACGAATCGAAGGCGAAGTAGTCTGTGGTTTAACGAGCATAATCTGATCGCATTTACGTCCCTTTTGAGATTGTTTGAGGACGACGTGTAGAGAAAGGTAGAAGAGCGGTGCATTAACAAGCGCAACACGAAGTTCCTACCAGTCGAATTAAAGCGGTGATTAAATTGAAAGAGAAAAAGCTGAGCAAAACAAGAGACGGCCCCTTTTTTCCGGCCGCACTACAGTAGTTCATTTAAATTAGCGTCTCTTTAACCCGCCGTAATTCCGCAATGTTTTCCGCGTGGCGGGGAAAAGTTTGTAGAGATATTACGAGGCACATAGATCACACTTAGCATTAATTAGCGCAGTTTCTACAGTAAACGAGAGACAAAGTTTCACGACTGTGCACAAAGATCCGACGCGATTTATGCGATTCGACTGAATCGAGTGATCTTGATCGCGAGACTCTATGCGTTTGTTATTGTTTGGAGATTTCAATTCAAACATTTATTATTCTATTCGAAATGGAATATCGTTTACTTGTCTACTAGAATATTATACTTTCCTTGAATAGGAAAATTTCTCCTACTTTTTAAACTCTTAAGTAATCTTTAAATATAGCAACGAATTGAGTTGTTAATTTCGAAATTTCCGTTTCGATTATCAAGGAAAGTAGTAAAGTCTACGTCTTAATATCTAGCAGAACAAGATCCTTTGGATTTAACAACATAAAATACCGAGACAGTAGAACAGAACATCGTGCAAGTGGAAGAGGACAGCATGCAAGTAGAATAGAACACTTTACGCCTGAATTACAGTTGGGACTATTCAAACTTTAAGGTCTTGTTCTTCTTTTGACCACTCTTTCCATCTTCACTGCCTTTCTAAAAGATTGATGGATATTGATCTGACTAATCGTAGTAGGTTCTGCTGTACATTGTACAACTTTCTTCTATACAGTTAGGCTCTTATTTTAGTTTTCGAAAAAATATGAATGAATATTCACTCATAGAATTCTTTCTGATTTCCCGGAATCTATCAATTTCTCTCTTTGTGACGTGAACTTCATTAGTTTGTCGTCATTCATCGAGTCTGAGCAACGTATACTTCTAGTTTCTTAAACTGTAGTTCGTAGGATGAAGTCAAAATGATACGTCGAGCTTTTCAAACGTTCTAGGATCTTCAATAATACTTTTAATATTTTAAAGTAGAGTGAATCGAAAATTTCCAAATATCTACGATCGTTGCAGAGTGTCAATTCTGTGAACACGTGCGCGGTTCAACGCGTTTAAGCGAAAGTTATTAACATACCGGATGTTCGATAAATCACAGTGTTCATCCTTTTTGTTAAAACTCATTAGCAAAGCAGAAAATACGCAAAGCAGAAAGAATCTTTTTCTTCTCGTGAAATTTCATTTCCACTGGCCCGCCACGGCGGCGCGCACTTTAAATCAACCGACGGCAGACAGGATCGGCGCGTAACGCGGCACATGCGGCAGATGTTTCAGTTAAATCAACTGCCTTCGAATAGCAAGCCGCAGAAACTATCTGTTCCGGTGTCAAAACAGCTGTGCTTAATTAAACTCACACAATGAGCATGTTGCGGCGCGCCTGGTCGCGGCCTGCCGTCTCAAACAACCAGCTTAATTGCGAATGATTACCGCCTTCCACTTACCAAAACGTCTCGCGTGTAATGAAATTCCAATGTGTCTAACATAATAAATGCCGAAAAATCCGAATTTTTCTACATTCTCCATTCATTCATACATACCTATTTCATTACGCTTCGTTCATAAATCACAGTCGAATTTTGCGTCGATACAGTTGTTATCATAATACAGGTTTTACTAATTTTACTAATTCTATTGAATGTAACATTGTGAGATTATTAGACTGCGAATGTTTGTCCAAATCTATGTCTTTATGGGCATAATTTCAAAAATGTAATTTAAATAGAGACACACTTCAGTCAACATGCATTTTATAGATCGAACTGATTCAATCCCGTGTTAGAAGAACGTCGATGTTATCAAAGGAAGATTTCAAGGGCTCAGTATTTGACCACTGTTTCCAAGAGTCTATTCCTTTAACCAACATGTCATATTTAATAAATAATTCGAGCTGTATCACTTGAAACATATATTGCGATGTAACGATTGCTTGACTTTAGGTATTTTGAATATTTCCACGTATCTCTTGAACAACTATATGTTTTCATAAAGACTTTATGTCCATAAGATGAGAGCCGATGTTTGTTTCTCACCCTCTTTCTTTCGCAAAACGCAATTTGCGAAGACTGGTGGCTCTCGGGAAGAGTAGAAAATCGTCTGGTTTGCTCGCCGTGCGAAGTGTCACGAAGATACCTGGACGAAATCCCAGGAGCACTGTAAATCACACCGTAGCCACTCGATCTACCGGCAGGATGGCAATTACCGCCGTGGGACCGGAAAAAACCGGGGCACATGCGTCCAACTTTAAATCTCCGTCAACTGGTCCGCTGATCATCCCTGTTGCTCGAGGAATCACCGAGTTAGGAAGAAGCGGGTTCGCTCCTTTCATTTGTCGTTACATTCTCGACAGGTCCTCCCGTGACATCCTGCGTTCGAGACTTCGTCAGCTAAGAAAAAGCTTCGAGAAGAGAATTCCATCGAATCGAACTTCTGCTTGATTTCGTGTCACACGGTTCCCCGGGCGAAGTCTTTTGATTAAACTAGCGCGACGTCTTCGCTCACGTTTCCCGAATATGTACGTTCTCATCGTCGTTCTGATTAGAGAATTTAGTAGAATAATGCATGAGAAACGGGTGCATTTAATAATATTACAATAATATACAGAAGACTTTTATATTTTCAAATCTATCGAGTTTTCCACCCTCTTCGATTGTTTCATAATAGAATATTTTTTTGTCACCATAAAGTGACGTAAAAGGTAGAAAATTAATAACAATGGGTTTATTAAATTCTTAACGTGCAACCTCCATTTATTAGTATGACATTTACATATTGATTATATAATTTGGCGTAGAATATTAAATTCCGTTTCATTTAGTAGTACCTTTATACGATTATTAAAACTTGATATTTCGAAAAGGAAATGTAGAACCAGATGAAAAAGCACTCTATTGGAAAATTGGGATATGTGCACATACTTTTTATAGCCATTATTTCAATTTAACGATTTTTATCGAATTCTCCGTTGGTTATCCCAACTCTGTGACCAGTGAATCATAATATGCAAACTTGATCTGCAGACGCACTCATACACAATCATAAGGATATTAATTTCCCCGACGGTGCTTGCAAGGCTATGCACTATTTCCACTTTCCTCTAACGAAAAAAAAACGATGAATCGAAACTGAATGCAGCGGTTAAATCGCACCCTTTCCCCTCTGTAATATTTTATCACATAGCGGATTAACGTTTCATCCGTTGTAATACGGTTTAACGATCGGAATGTGCCGGCGGCGAGCTACTTAAATCAGCCCGCTAATGAATATCTATTTACCGGGGCATTTATAATTGGAATTAATTAAATCATGGCCGATTTGATCGGGCATAATTGGCGTGGTCGTCGTTGCAATCCGATAAATTCGATACGCCTAAAATTGTTTCGCCTGTAACTTGCGAGCCACACGGAACAGTCCTCGGTCGTGAACAATTAAGCCAATTAGCGGTGGGATCGATACCCAACCTGTTCCCCTCAGCTCCCACAACTTATCATCTCGATGCACGTCCGTGTCTCGTCCCGTAGCCCGAGGCGCGTTGGGGACTTTTAATGAATTACAAAACAAAGCTGCCTCTCAGCCTGGGGTCTGAGGGATCGAGAAAGTTTCCCGTCCCTTTCCTCCACCGCTCGCTGCTACGCTCGTCTGGATTTTCGCTTTCGAGTACAGAAGCGGAAAGTGGCCCGCCATTCTTGCCGTTTCCCAAACTTCCCAGCCGAAACCGAGCTATTCGGTAAAGCCCCGCGTCGCTTCGAGCCTCGGAAAGCCTCTTTCCCGAAGAAATTCACCGCGAACGACCAAGAGACCGAACGCTCGCGCGCGCTTCCGAATAAAATTTAATACGCGATCGAGCGACAAGCTTTCCAGGAAGCATTAGAGGAAGCTTTATGAAGGAAGCGGTCGTGCGTGGGCTATGACTATTTCATGGCAAAGACACGACGCTTTTGATGAAGATACCCTAAATTATTCGCCTATATTCTCTCAGATGTATGTACTTAGTTCGTGCTTACGAAAACAGAAGTAAATTTGTAAAATCATTAGCAAAGATCACTAGCAAGAACATTTAAGAATTATGGTATTAATTATATTCAGTATTAGAATCTCAGTAATAATAATCTAAATTTCATATAAGAAAATGAAACAAGTTCCAACTTGTTTATGTATATACTTTACGTCTCTTGATTATCATTTTGATCAATTTTGCATATACCGCTGTGTCGCACGAGAATGTAGGAAAAAGCTTGGGGAAACGAGGTTGGTAATCGCGGCGGGATTAGGTGGAATAATATTACCTGGTTGTAGGGCAGATCGTCGCGAAAATAGGGTGTTAACCGTCAGTAGTCTATGTAATCGGCGGGTAATTAATTAATGCGCTGGCCGTCAGACCCTCTTCCAATATCCAGCAACCCGGCAGCGCTGCAAACCACTGATAACTGAAGCAACTCGCCGGCCGATCTTGTATTCCGCGGATACGCCGTCAGCTGACGTATTTCCATTAACTCTCGGCTCTTTCACATTAAATCCCGAATATTAAAAATCTTGTAAACTCTTTATCCCCATCGGAGCAATCAAAAGTCGTCAAAGTCAATTATAATAATCATGGTACGGTCGAACTTCGATAACTCGAATTTCTACTAAATCTCTTCGAGAAATATTAATTTTTCCTATATGATTCGAGTTACCGAGGTTCGATTGTATTTAACTATCAGTTGGTATCATTATGTCACAATAAAACCCCTGCAATTCGAGTTAAAATATTATATTCTAATATTTTATTCTAATTTGTATTAAAATTATATTTCATTTTAATCTGTATGTAAAATATAAAGTGAAATTAAATAACCTGTATATTTTACCTGATCAAGACCATTAATATCATTTATCGTATAAAATATAAAACATACAAGCCTGCTTCAAATTTACCTCAAATTAGCTTTTAATTATCCCAATTTTAATGCAAACCGGTGCAATCACCTTTGACCCGGCAGTATCGGTTGTGGACTAAAAATGAACATAATCCAAAAGAGAATCCATTTACGTTTCCTTTCAATGAGTCGGCCGAAAAAAGGTATGGCCATCGCGCAGCCTTAATAATTTCCCGAACGAGATTACACGCCGGTAGTCTGGCACAGAGCCGCTTAATCCCTCGTCGTCCTCGGAAGCTGTCTTTTAGGAGGATGCTCGAGGATTTTGGAAAGTTCTGGAGGCAGGCGAGACGAGGCTGGCCGGGTACACAATGTAATTCGCGCCTGCACTTTGTCTTCGCGGAAGTTTCGGCTTCTCGTGATCGTGAGCGGGGATAATGCGAGTGTACTTATTATTCGGTTCACGCGGTCGTTCTCCAGCGCTCGAACGCTGCTTTCCACCGTAGCTAGCGCTATACCGAACAGAGTAAAAGAGAGATGATAAGAGAGAGGGAAAGCGAGCGAAAGATAAAGACAAGGAACAGAGCATTCAATCACGACAAGAATAATCGCGCCCCAGGCTAGCGTGCTACAATTTATACCCCGTGAGACGAACGACGGAATTTGTCGGCCATTAGCGAGCAATTTATCGCGAGTTTCACGAATGAATATCGTGGAAATCTGGTGTCTCGCGAAGAATGCGCCTCCATGAGCATCCTTCCTCTTAAAGAGGAGAAACTCCGTAATCCAAGACTGTCTTTGATGGCTGACTATTCCAGTCTCTCTTCTCGGCTGAAAAATCTGCAAGCACTCTTCCTACCTTTTTACGTAATTTCTCATAGAATTTTGACGAACGATCGCATAGAAACAAGGAAGAAGCATGGCGGCGTCATTGAACACGGTCGCAAATTAAGTTGCGACTTCGTTTCCACCGGAAGCGATAACATCGATAGCGCGTCGCTGAGGTAACTCATCCGAGTCGGCGCGTAAATTTCCGACCGTGTATGGAAGCCTTGGTAAGCTAAAATGTTCGATCACGGATTTATGTCTCGACGATGAGGGACTTTTAACGAAGGCGTGAAAGGGTTCAATTGATGGCTCGAGTTTTTCCATGCGTTTTACGCAAAAACGGAGGAAAAGAGAGAAACAGAATCGTTGGTTATCTCGCAAAATTCTCAGCGAAACATTCTGTTTCGTCCGAATGTAATCTGCTGATAGCGAAGTGATTTCTGCCAGCGACAGCTTATAAATTACGTTTGCTCCAAGAGAGTCCGGGCCAGGCCGTGCACGAATTTCGAATGAGAATCACACCGTGTATATCGCTCTTTTGCCGCCAACGACAGCTTATGAATTACCGTTTCCGTTCCGTTTTCGATCCGCTCCGCTATTTCGTTAAGTTACGCATTCTCTTGGCCGACAACCTTTGCTCAATGTCCTCGAAAATTGTCTGGATATTGCCGAGTTTGATTTTATATCTTTATGATACTGTATAAACTGGGATTTTGAGGATAGCTCATAGACATCGATTATAATTCAAGATCACATAATAAGTTACTTCCCTGATGAAAATGAAAGCACTTTATTGGAAAATATGGATATGTACAAATACTATTCGTAGCCAGTGTAATTGTAGTATTTAAAAAGATAAATATGTCGGAGATGAAAGGACATCGGGGTCTTTTTTTGGAATTTTTGGGAAGATCCCCAATACTTTAGTCTAGCCCGAGATTTATATTTACCCAAGATTTGTGACGGTGGGCTTGGGCTCGAGGTGACACAACTGGTCGCTGAACATAGCCACGGTCACAGAATGAACGTTTTTTACCTAACAGAGAAGTGCCAATATTTTGGGACACACGTTGTATTAACAATCAAACCCTGGGCAGGAGCAATGTCAGCTCTACGCGGGTCTGCCTAGCAACGGCGGCTAGAATTTTGTTGGTATCCCCGGCCAATATGCAACGAACAAACGCGATCGTAAGGAGAGGAAAATTTCCATCAGTCTTTTATTCTTGCGATCACCTTGGATAGTTTTCACATCATCTTTACGAGCAGTATTATATCGAGCAAATACTCAGAACAATAGCAAATGCGCCATGGTACGTTAGAAACGAGGACATTCGGAAAGACCTGGGAATACCAACGGTCAAGAATGAGATTAACAGAAGCGCAAGAAGGTACAGAGAAAGAATAGCAACGCACCCGAACCAGCTGGCAGCGGAAACGGTCGGCGCATCAAACATAAAAAGAAGATTAAAAAGGAAAAACCCAACAGATCTCACAAAGGACGTAACCTGACATACAAACACTCACCACACTAAAGAAATAAATCAATCAAATTCGAAGATGGTCTCCCACTCCACATGCTATATTGCTATATCACTAAGCTATAACATTTTACCAAATGTCCTACTGGACAAATTGTAAAATGTAAATAAATAAATAATAAAAAAAAATATCGAGCGTCACAGCAAACGTTACTTTGTGCTTCAAAATATATTCCACGTTTAACAAGGAGTTACCCCGTTGACCGTGGATTCGTTATTGAACATAAGAACGTTGTCTTTAATATCTCGAGTGTCTAATCACCACGGTTATTTGTCAAACTTGGTAAAAATCAATATTAACGATGGCTAGTCCGAATGAAGATTCGTTACACGCCCCTAAACCTCACGATAACCTGATAAATAAATATATCTAAGAAGAAAGAGAATGTGCCGCAACTCCCTGAAACTATTTCATTCCTTTCTTTAATAGTAAGAACTACGTCTAAACAATATTGGACTAAAAACTCGAAAAATGTTCTTCTCATCGTTAGGTAATTTAACAATGTGTTACGTCGGGCGACACTCTATCTAGACCAGGCCACACGCGGGCAAGATGGGAACCAGATATCCGCTCATCCTTACTGCGTACCCTCAATAGTCTTAAGGACCCATCATAAATCTCAGGAATTTGCTTGCTAAGCTCCTTCAGACCGAACAAACATCTCTTTACTGAATCGTTTCTAAAGCTTATTGTTACTACGGGAAAGTTAGTTTTCTCACGCATGATGCTTCCCACTAGCAATTCTCTCTCGGGGACGGTTAGCACCCTTCCTCACCAACCAACCTAGAAAATTAACCAATTGACAGCGAAGTCTTTCCCTCACTCTCCCAATGAAACCTTGTCCTTGACAAATCAGCTCTTTCTTGTAGATTAGAGCCACCCACGACTAACTTTCCTCCGACACAGCATCGTAACATTACCTCACTTATTCTTCATCGTTAGAATAGTCAACATGTCATTACCGGGCTTCTATCCTTAAAACAATCACTTACTTAACTTGTACATACGCATCAGTGCAATTATCTTCTTTACAAAGTTGTTGGGATAAACATTAATTTATATCTGTTAATTCAGTGTAACCTCGATTGAACCACCCCTATTATCGTAACAGGAATCAGGGGATCGATCATTTCGTGACGTCGATTAACTAATCGTAACGGGAATTTACGACTCCCGTTGACGTGCTTCTCGCGATCGCGTCTCTCCGCGAATGGTCGAAAAAACACAATGAATACCTTCCTACTTTACGCTTTCTATCGCAAGTCAATTTTCCAAAACATTCATTTTCCCCAGTTGTGCTTCATCTTTAGAACAATCAAGCAATAGTTCGTGGTATTTTGTCAGAAGCTGTTCTCTAAAAATGTTATACAAACTTCAGGTCTCGAGTTACATTGCTTTCGTTTCTTCCATATAACGCTAGAAAGTAGAAAATGGTAGCATTTGGTAGACTAACAATCTGTCTGTTCCCTTTTGCGTTTCGTGACATAATTGCTACGGGTCGTGTGATTTCCGTGGTCCGATAATTGCACTGTTCGACCCAAAAGCCTGTCCAACTTGCAGGGCCACGTGGTGTGCACGAGTCGCAGGTCTGAATGCATCGGTCTTTTTGACCCGGTCCTGGCAGGAAGGAGATGGGCGGTTGGAGCTAGGAGGTGTAGTCGCGCCTCGCAATTTCCTACACAACTTCCACAGTTCGTTCTAACTTCCGGGACACTTATAATTGGTTTCCAGCCGCGCGTTCGAGAGACTGATGCCAGCGAAGAGAATCGAGAGAGGATAGAACCAAGGAATTACGAAAAGAGAAGACCGATTGCGTCTACGGCCTGGACGAAGGATCCAGTTTCTGACTGGTCATGCATTACACACGAGGAAAACTGCGATGTTCAGAACTTCCGAGCGCTGCTTTCCATTGCATTGAAACGACCACGGAGCATACGGTCTGCCCCATTTTGAGTCCTTCAATTCCGTGACCAAGTTCGAGATTAATTAGTTTCTTGCACTGTCGAGTATGTTCATCGAGATACGGTTGAATCTACTTGGATGGTTTCCCAAGTTCAGACGTATATGACGCGTACGAATAGTCGATCGAAAATTGATGGATAGATGAGAAATTTGAGGTCGTTAGCGTAGTGTCGCTAAACGTCGATATAATGAAAATTCAGAGTTGTAAAATAATTATTTGTTTGCCCGTTATCAGGGGAATTCCTTCGTGCGATGAGAAACTTTTTAATTATTTTAAACTTCTTCGGCTTACCGCTTTATCATGCTGGAAACTTGTCCGAGGACATGCTTCGTTTCTCGTCGCGTTTCTCCCCAAATATCACGTACAAAACGGTTGATCTATTTAAAGCGTTATCGATCGGCCCCGCGTATTTCTGGCCTGGTCCTCCAAGTGGTCCAAGAGAAAGCTCTATTCTCTGATTTGAAACTTCACCCTTTCCTTATAATTAATTGTACAGTAAAACGAAATTTTGTAAAAAATGAACGTGTTATTTATGAAGATAGCACTCGTTACCTGACTAACGCTCCATTATACGAAAACCATAGAAAAAGGATTTAATTCTATCCCCGTCTCGTTAAACGACCATCTCTGTACGTATTACAATTTACTTTATGCATGAAATTTAATATGGAGTAGATATTAATCGGACATGCCTCATTTAGCTGGCTGTCATAAACGCTTTCGTTTTATGATATCCACTGTTCAGTCGCTTCGGCAATTCATCAAGTGATGCGCGTTTCGCTGCAACATCGGAGACAATTAAAAACAATTTGCTTTAATTGAAACTCAGTTCCCTCTCCCCGCTGTATTTCGCGAAATTTTCCGCCGATGGATTTTCTGCCGTATAAACGGAGAATTGCATTAAGTATATGGAGCGCAAGAACGAATTTAAAGAATACGTATCCCTGATAAAAGATGAGCTGTCGTCCTTTATCTTTTCTTCATTTCTTTTATTCATCGTCGGATAGGAAATTTTCTACGATGAAAATTTACCTCCGATGGCAGTAAAATAGTCACGAACATGCACTAGATAAATTTTGATCTACTGGTATGGATCCTCTTGATCCAGACGGCGAACTTTCGCGATTCGTAGTCAGGGGATTAACGCTGTCGTATGACGAGCTAACGAGCCCCCGCTGGAGAGCGAGCCATTATGCGATCGGTTGTTTCGATACGCGTTCGTCACGTGGCGAAAGATATCACAGTGCGCGATCGGTTCCACGCCCAGCCTGTGTAAACTGAACTTAACGACGTCCGTAAATCGAACGCGAAGCGAACGGGTCGCGTATTTATGCGGGGCGATTGAAACGGAACACGCTCGTCCTGGCGTAAACTATCAGGTAAGTGAGGTGATGAGAGGCCGTCGGCTGGGAATGGTGTTGTTCGCGAGATCCACCACCAGTCGAGCAGATTAATCGTCCCGGAAATTCCTCTGTGTAATCGAATTAAAGGGAGGTAGTCTCCGCTCGGGGAATAAGAAATAGATTAAACTTCCATTGGAAACGAAGTCTCTCCTCTTTCCCTCTCTCTCTCTCTCTCTCTCTCTCTCTCTCTCTCTCTCTCTCTCTCTCTCTCTCTCTCTCTCTCTCTCTCTCTCTCTCTCTCTCTCTCTCTCTCTCTCTCTCTCTCTCTCTCTCTCTCTCTCTCTCTCTCTCTCTCTCTCTCTCTCTCTCTCTCTCTCTCTCTCTCTCTCTCTCTCTCTCTCTCTCTCTCTCTCTCTCTCTCTCTCTCTCTCTCTCTCTCTCTCTCTCTCTCTCTCTCTCTCTCTCTCTCTCTCTCTCTCTCTCTCTCTCTCTCTCTCTCTCTCTCTCTCTCTCTCTCTCTCTCTCTCTCTCTCTCTCTCTCTCTCTCTCTCTCTCTCTCTCTCTCTCTCTCTCTCTCTCTCTCTCTCTCTCTCTCTCTCTCTCTCTCTCTCTCTCTCTCTCTCTCTCTCTCTCTCTCTCTCTCTCTCTCTCTCTCTCTCTCTCTCTCTCTCTCTCTCTCTCTCTCTCTCTCTCTCTCTATTTCTCACTCTTTCAGGTTCGATCGAGCTACTCCGTTTGATTTTCTTCGCTAAACACGTTCCATGAAATTAATTGCGACACTTTGTCGCCGTGGGTTTCCCTTCTCGATCGCGTTTACCGTTGCTGATGAAGTCCAATCCGACCAGGTCTATCCTCGAAGGAGCTCCTCGGTACGATGAGTTGTTTATTTTACGGGGGATTAAACTGTACCAGGCGAGTTAAGAAACGTTTCGACGAGCACGAAAGAAGGAAGACGGTCGTAAAGTTAATTTTTTGACGACGGCTGTGCTTTACGGCGTTCTTTGGATTCGTATCAACCCGCGTTTTATCTCCCTATCATGCCTAAGTCAAGGGTTTAGCGGTAGTTTGAAAGGGTGTAACGCACGTGCTGCGGC